AAACCCACCAGCCACTCCTCGGAAGGAAGATGGGGCAATCTACTTCTGTAGTGATACTGCCTTGGAAACCCAAGGAGGGGTCGCTATGAGTCGGTCTGACTCGACGGCACATAACAAAAACAAGTTGCAGAAGCTCACATCATTCCTTTTGTTAACAATGTCCTGGTTGGCACTGCTAAATCAAAAATATATAATAGAACTATACCCTTTTCTGTTTGTTGAAAACAGTGATAACCGTATTTCTAAATCTGCTTTACCATTAAGTAGCTATACCTTAGGTAGGAGTTAATTTCTGAAGCCCTTAGTTTCCTCATTTATGAAGGTATAAGATAAAATGAAACACAAAATTCCTGCCAGCTTAAAATTCTGATACTATTTTTATCCAAATTTTCTTGAAGTTCATAACCCACTGCCATCAAGTTGATTCTGATTCATGTTTACAGAGTAGAACTGCCTCACAGAGTTTCTAAGCCTTTGTAAATCTTTATGGAAGTAGACTGCCTCATCTTTCTACTATGGAGCGGCTGGCAGGTTCAAACCACTGACCTTTTGGACAGCAATCCAATGCTTTAACCACAGTTCCACCAGAGTTCCTTTGAAGTTCATCATACCTCATTTTTACATTACAAATTACTTTGACCTTTTCCAGAGCCAACTATCCGTAATGGAGTTCAGAGAATAAATATATAATTTAAAAATGCATGAAATCCCCAAACTTCTATCTTTCTCAAAGATTTTTACCAGATACAGTAATATTAGAAAACAGACATAAACTGAACCTTCCCTCCTTTCCCAGTTTACTCATAGAAATGATGTTAATAAAAATCAAAAGGAAGAGTAGTAAGGAAAAGGAGATGTATTTCACAATCTATGTATTACATAGGCTGGATTCACTTAATTAATGAGTAAATGAAGAGATGTAGGAAAGATACAAGGAGAGTCTGTTATTTACCTCAATGAGTGATGCAACCATCTTTTTCCCATCAGCTCCTGGATTGGCAAGTTTGTTGAATTCCAAATCAAAATAAAGCTTGCATACAGAACTTTCCGGAATAATTTCATAGCAGTGCAAGAGGTTTTTGCTAAATTGAGTAATTTGAGACTGTGAGATTTATATCTTATCTTTTAAATCATAGAAGTTGAACTCAAAAAACTATGTTAATTGTTAATTACAAATAACTATGAAATAATAAAGACATGATAAAGTGAACAACTGCTCACCACAGGTTTATGGATCATACTCTCAAGAATTTCCACCAAACAAAATTTAACATTCTGTAACATTACTGAACTAGAAAACACAGTCAACATCAATAGTGTTACTTACTCACAGGTGACTGGAATACTGTGTAACACCTCTAAATTTGTTTTGTTGTCACAATGGAACAAACTTTGTTTTAGAAAAGAACTATCTTTTCTCAAACTTGGATCCCAGGATTCTTGAAATTCCATGACTTTTCTATGAGACAATTTAAATGTATTTTCATTGGGAAGATAATATTTTTTTAAATTGGCAAGGAAAAAAAACAATTCTGAATCATCTGACTTCCAGGAGCTTTCAACACTCATGTTTACAGTTATAACCTTGCTGGCTTACAGGAAATATAACTTTGACATGGCTTAATAAGAATACATGCTGATTTAATATGTAAATGAGAATCTGGATTGCTGATTTAATACAAAAATAATAATTTGGGCTCAGTGAAGTTCAGATGGCATCCTACACAAATAAAAGGTTTGTAGTAATACGAACAAGGAAAAGTGGTGGGGGAATTTTGTCAGTATCCAGCACAGGTAGCACAAGAACACAAAATGCACAAGCATACACTGTATATGGTGCTCCGTAATAGCACCATATTCATATTGCAAAATGAGATTCAGTGTCAGCAAAACATGTCACATCATTTTTAATGATTTTAATTCAACTCTGGTTGGCGTTGCATATATATAAACATATATAAACAAACCTAGTTTTATATTTGAAGGTATTCAAGCAATATTATAATGAAAATATTTTGTGAATACAAGGTACCTATATTAATCTGTTCCCCTTTTCCATACATTATGCAAGTATGATTAAAAACTTGAACAGATCATTAAGCTATATTAAGCAGCAATTTCTTTATTATTGTTGTTATGTGCCGTCGAGTCAGACCCAACTCACAGCGACCCCTCCTTGGGTTGATGAGGCAGTATCACTATGGAAGTAGATTGCCCAACCTTCCTTCCGAGGAGTGCTGGTGGGTTTGAACTGCCAGCCTTCTGGTTATCAGTCAAGTGCCTTAGGCACTATGCTACCAGAGCTCCCTCTTTATTATTAGACAATTAATAATACAAGTATTCATTTGTGATTAATGTACAATTTAATATTTGTTTGCAAATTATTAACTTCAGAATCCCCTTTGGGTAACATAGGGATAAATATACATTATGCTGAGACAGGCAGAAGATGGTAGGACTCAAAGGATTAACTAAAAAAGCTGCAAGCCTAACTGCTTAACTAAAGACTAACCCACATCCTGGAACATGGGGTCCAGAAGTAAGCAAGCAGCCTATCTAATTCCACACTCCCTATCTTGCAAGATCTTTTGCAGGTGCTTGCAGGCAACCTAACCTCCTCAGCTCCCCAAGCATACACACATCACTGTGAAATGACCACTGTATGACCTTCCTGGGGTGGCAGTATTGAGGCAAAGACACTAACTGGGAATCGAACCTGCGCCCCAAGGGACAGTGCACACATGCACCTGTTTCTAGGAAATTACCACCCCTTCTCAGAAAATCCTCACCTGTTTCAAAACCCTCAAAAACTCCAGCAAATTTTTACTCGCGGAGACAAAGGCTAGCATTGCTTAGTCCCTCTTTGTCTCCATTCATGAGCTACTCTCTTTCTCTTTCCTTTAATGAAAGCTTTGTGTGGAAAATCTAAGCCTCTCCTGGCCATTCTTGGTCAGTACAAGGCAAGAGCCTGACAAGGCTGACCCCTAATGGGGAAGGGCTCCCTAGAACAATGCTTGGTAAAGTAGAGTGCCAGTGAAGAAGGGGAAGACCCTCAACGAGATGGACTGACATGTGGGTGCAACGGTGGGCTCAAGCATAGCAAGGATTATGAAGATGGTGTATGACTGGTCAATATTTGTTCTGTTGTACACAGGGTCATTATGAGTTGGAGCCAACTTGACGGCACCTAACAACAATAACATACATATATTTGTGCATACCCATATATGTATACGTATACGTATGTACATATATTTATGTATATACATACATATACATAGCACAGTACCTAAGCCATCTGACTTCAAACCAGGTTAGTGGTTCAAACCTACCAGCAACTCCACAGAAAGAAAACTGGGCAATCTACTTCCATAAAGATTTATCACCTCAGAAAACCAATGGGGGTCGTTATGAGTCGGAATTGACTCAATGGCGGTGGGCTTGGTTTTTTTTTTTTTACATATACTTAGACACGTACGTATGTACATATATATATATACACATACACACACACACACACACACACACACTCACTCCTCACTTATTGACATGGTTAGGTTTCAAAGACCAGGTGGTTACATGAAAATTGGTGTTATGCAAAAACGGAGAATGACCACAACACGTTATAAAACAGAGGACGACGTTGCTGTTGTTGTTATGTGTTACAGAGTCGTATCCAACTTATAGCAACCTTACATATAACAGACGAAACACTGCCTAGTCCTGTGCCAGCCTCATGATCCCTACTATACCGGAGCCCATCTATGCAAACCATCTTGTTGAGGACCTTCCCTCTTTCGTTGACCCTCCACTTTACCAAGCATGACATCCTGCTGCAGGGAATGGTCCCTTCTGACAACATGACTGCGGTGTAGTAAATTACTTAGTATGGCTTTTCTACCCATAAGTCTTTGTAAACTCCAAGGTGGGATTTTCTATGAGCAACTGAGGAGCTCCTGATTGCTGAAGTTGTCCACTTGGAGTATTTCTGTTGGGAGTGGCACAAAACAATGTTCTGGGAGGTGCCCACTCTCTCTCAGGTGCTTAGAGTTCTGATGCTATGATTGGCTAGTTTGACCACCCTGCCGGGTTGAAAAGGAGGCTTCCTAGGGGCAGAACTCTCTCTCTGACTGCTGGTTGAGGAAGACGTGCTGCCGAAAGAGACACGCACCCCTGAAAGAGACACGTGCTGCTGGGAAAGAGACACAAGAGACACGCATTGCTGAGTGAGACACCGAGGGACCAGCACTGCTGGGAGAGAGACTGTGAGAGACTGTTGGCTGAGGGACAGTGGGCTGGGAGAGAGACTGAGCGTTCTTCCTGAACTTGAGTTGTAGCCTGGTGATTCCCTAATAAACCTGTAATCTGTAAGTTCTGTGTGGCCACTCCAGCGAATTATCGAACCCAGAAGAGAGGTGGTGGGTGCTTTGGGAGGAACGGTTGGAGAAAGGGCTGGAGGGAGGCAGCATGTCTGGCCTGGCAGGAATAGGCCTTGGGTTACTGCTGGTAATCCTGTCTTCCTCTTGCGGGATTAGAGGAGGTCAGAATATGTGTCCTCCCTGCCCTTTTTGCAATGACCAAAGTAGGTGAGATGAAGTCTGGCCATTCTCACTTCCAAGAAGCATTCTGGCTGTACTTCTTCCAGGACAGATTTGTTAGTTCTTTCAGCAGTCCACAATACTTTCAACATTCTTTGCAAGCACCACAGCATCGACTCTTCTTTGGTCTTCTTTATTCATTGTCCAGCTCTCATAAGCATATGAGGCGACTGAAAATACCATGGCTTGCGTAAGGCGCATCTTAGTCTTCAAAGAGATATCTTTGCTCTTCAGCACTTCAAAGAGGCCTTTTGCAACAGATTTGCCCAATGCAATACATCTTTCAACGTTTTGACTGTTGCTTCCATTGGTATTGATGGTAGAACCAAACAATATGAAGTCTTTGACAACTTTAATCTTTTCTCCATTCATTGTGATGCTGCTTATTGATCCAGCTGTGAGGATTTGTGTTTTCTTTATATTGAGATGTAATTCATACTGCAGACTATAGTCTTGAATCTTCAACAGTAAGGGCTTCAAGTCATCCTCACTTTCAGCAAGCAAAGTTGGGTCATCTGTGTATTGCAGGTTGTTAATAAGTCTTCCTCCAATCCTGATGTCACGTTCTTCTTCATATGGTCCAGCTTCTCGAATTATTTGCTCAGCATACAGATTAAGTATGATGAAAAGATACAACTTTGACTCATTCCCTTCCTGATTTTAAACCATGGAGTATCCCCTTGCTCTGTTCAAATGACAGCCTCCTGATCTATGTACAGGTTCCTCATGGGTACAATGAAATGTTTTGGAATTCCCATTCTTTTCAATGTTATCCATAATTTGTTATGATGCACACAATCGAATGCTTTTGCACAGCCAACAAAACACAAGTAAACATCTTCGTTGTATTCTTTGCTTTGAGCCAAGATCCATCTGACATCAGCTATGATATCCCTCATTCCATGTCCCATTCTGAAATCAGTTTGCATTTCTGGAAGTTCTCTGTCAATATACTGCTGCAACCAGTTTTGAATTATCTTCAGTAAGATTTTACTTGCATGTGGTATCAATGATATTGTTCGATAATTTCCACATTCTGTGGGATCACCTTTCTTTGGAATGGGTACAAATACGGATCTCTTCCAGTCAGTTGGCCAGGTAGCTGTCTTCCAAATCTCTTGGCATAGCTGAGTGCCTCCAGTGAGGAATGCAATTTTTAAAACATTTCAATGGGCAGTCCATCAATTCCTGGAGACTTGTTTTGTCAGTTCCTTCAACGCACCTTTGACTTTTTCCTTCAACACCATTGGTTCTTGATTATATGCCACCTCCTGAAATGGATGATCATCTACTAATTCTTTATGACTCTGTGTATTCCATCCATCTTCTTTTGATGCTTCCTGCATCATTTAACCCATTGCCCATGCAATCTTTCAATATTGCAATTTGAGGCTTAAATTTTTTCCTCAGTTCTTTCAGCTTGAAAAATACTGAGCATGTTCTTCCCTTTTGGTTTTCTAACTCCAAGTCTTTTGCATATTTTATTATAATAATTGACTTTGTCTTTTTGAACTGCTCTTTGAAATCTTCAGTTCAGCTCTTTTATCTTGTTATTTCCTCCATTCATTTTACCTACTCTCCATTCAAGGACAAGTTTCAGAGTCCCTTCTGACATCCATTTAGGTCTTTTCTTCCTTTCCTGTCTTTTTAATGACCTTTTGCTCCTTCATGGATGATGTTCTTGATATCATCCCACAATTCCTCTGGTTTTTGGTCACTGCTGTTCAATGTACCAAATCTATTCTTTAGATGGTCTCTAAATTCAGGAGGGATATAAGCAAGGACATATTTTGGCTCTTGTGGATTTCTTTTAATTGACTTCAGCTTCAACTGTAACTTGCATATGAGCAGTTGATGGTCTGTTCCACAATTAGCTCCTGGCCTGGTTTTGGCTGAAGATATTGAGCTTTTCCATCACCTCTTGCCATAGATGTAGTCAATCTGATTCCTATGTACTCCTTCTGGTGAAGTCCACGTGTATAGCTGCCATTTGTGTTGCTACAAGAAGGTATTTACAATGAATAAGTCGTTGGTCTTGCAAAATTCTATCATGTGATCTCCAGTGTTATTTGTATCACCGAGGCCATGTTTTCCAACTACCAGTGATTCCTCTTTGTTTGCAATGTTTGCATTCCAGTCACCAGTAATAATTAACACATTTTGATTGCATGTTTGTTTGGTCAATTTCAGGCTGCATAGCTGGGAAGCAGAATTTGGTAGAAATTTTTAATTTCCTCATCTTTGGCTTTGGTGGTTGGGGCATAAATTTGAGTAATAGTTGTATTAACTGGTCTTCCTCGTAGGCATACGGTTATTATCCTATCACTTACAGCACTGTACTTCAAAACAGATCTTGATACATTCTTTGTGATGATGAATGCTAGCCACACCATTCTACTTCAATTTGTCATTCCCACCATAGTAGATCATACTATCGTCTGATTCAAAATGGCCCAAACCAGTCCATTTCAGTTCACTAATGCCTATGATATAAATCTTTATGCATTCTGTTTCATTTTGATAACTTCCAATTTTTCTAGATTCATACTTCATACATTCCATGTTCTGATTATTAATGGATGTTTGTAGCTGTTCTCATCTTGAGACATGCCACATCAGCAAATGGTGTCCTGAAAGCTTTACTCTATCCACATCATTAAGGTCGTCTTTACTCTGAGTAGACAGCTTTTTTCCAGTTGTATTTTGAGTGCCTTCCGTCCTAAGGGGTTCATCTTCCGGCAGTATATCGGACAATGTTTCAGGGCTATTCATAAAGTTTTCCAGTAATATATCAGACAGTGTTTCACTGCTATTCGTAAGATTTTCATTGGCCAATTCTTTGAGAAGTAGATGGCTTCTTCCTTTTTCTGAGTCTGTCATAGTATGGAAGCTCTGCTGAAAACTGTCCACCATGGGTAACCCTGCTGGCATTTGAAACACCAGTGGCATACCCTCCATCCTCACAGCAACACTCAAGCCACCACAGTATGACCCACTGACAGACAAGTTTGTTTCCCTTAACTGTTCCAAACTGCTCTGTTCATTTCCTGGTCCCGGGGCTGGCTTTTTACAGCCTGCCTCTGGGGTGCTCACCCACACAAACTCCTGACTTCCGCTGCACCCAGGGCACTCCACCCGAGGGATGACTACATCATTATATAACTGCCAGATTTCATCATTATATAACTGTCAAATTACATCATTACATTAACTGCAAAGCCACTAAGCATCTTGGCCCAGCCATGTTGACACATAACCTGAACAATCATAACTAGTATTACTCTCATCTCATACCGTCACATTCTTTACTGCCAGATGTACATCATTATATGCAAAATAGTTGGATAGGTTTTCTGCTACTGTCATAAATGCAAAATTTGAGATAAGAAGATAGTGAGGGTTAGGTTATGTAATTTCTTCCCCAATACCTGGTGAGAGAATTCAATGTTACTACAGCCTTAGAAACCCTATGGGGCAGTTCTAATCTGTTTTACTAATCTGTCAACTAGGGATGCTATGAGTTGGAAATAACTCAAAAGCAATGGGTTTGGTTTTAGGCTTAACAAGTAAACTATAGAACTCAGTTCTAACATCAAGGGTAGAATTAATTCTGTGGTCAAGAACTGTGAAATTAATTCAACCTGAATTAATTTCACAAAAATTACTAGATGAAAGAAATACAATTTTAGCTTAATGTGCTGCTCATTCATAAACTACTTACCGGGATTTATAATAGAACCAAAGTTGAGCATAGGTTGTTACAAGATAAATACGTTGTCCATCTCCCTCCTTGTATTCCAAAGCAAATACATGAACATCCTTTGTAAAATAAAAAATATTTTAAAAATTAATTAATGCAAATCTAAATTCAACTGTGGCTATTAAAAATTTATAAAGAATTTACCCTTCAAGTTTAGAAAACTGGAATTTTAACATCTCTATTATTAAGAGCTAGAAAAATAATCATTAGATCTATGCCAATCAAAATCTAATTACTTACATTTATTAAATTTTAATCACTCAAGTGATACATATTCCAGGTAGAAATAATGAGAAGATCCAGATTAACAACAAAAAAAAAAGGATTAAAAACTACCCTTAATTCCTTCACTCTAGTTTGACTTCCTACCACAGTTTTGTTTGCTGATTTATGAAATTAAATACATTTTTCAAAACTACCTAAATATTATTATAAATGATTTGGGCCAAAATTAATTAATAAATTTTCTACTATATATAAAAATGTATGTGGAGGCCAATTTTTTAATGCCAATTACTGTGGTACTTGATTAAATATAACTGTTTATGTCTGCTGTCATAAAGAGTATCTTCTAATAAAGGAATATACACACAAGTTCCTTTTGTTTCCATTTAGGTAAAGGTACTCCTTGAGCATATAAAGGAACTAAACATTCATTTTCATGAGAATGAGAAGCCATAGAAGACTCAGTTACTTGAACCTATTAAAATGTTTTTGAGATAAGTTTTATAGACTGGTAATTGGAAAGTTCAGCAATCATACCCTTACATCTTTTATTAAATATAAGTTTAAATGAATCAACTTTCTGTTAATCTTTTAAATTCTGATGCCTGAATTTATACAAAGTGAGTTAGAAAGGTTCTTCCTAAACTTTTGAGTGCATTCTCTTTACTAGAGAAAGAGGGTCCCCCTCTTAAAAAGCTTATAGCACATTTAGTTTTTATATAACTTTAATAATCAGAGGTACAATGTATTTATCTTAGATAAATTATTCATCTTAGATAAAATATTCATCTTGTCTTTTCATTTTCTTTATATTCTCCACTATGCCCAGCAAAGGATGCACAATACATACAATACATATTTGCTGCTTGACTTACTATTTATTTATTTATTTATGTTGGTGAGGCTGGCATATGGCAAGCACTTCCTCCTCCTATTTGCCTAATGTGTTGGTAATTATTATGACAAATCTACTTTACTTTACAAAGCACAAAAGGAGATAGTAGAAAGAAATGTACAAGTCTGCTTTGGCATTATGAGTTAAGTTCTAAGGCTCATTATAACCTTATAAAGTTTGAGGCATTTTTGTTTCCTACCTCTTCAATTCAATTCTCTTTTCTCTTTTTCCTAAAAATCACACACTCCATTCATTCATTTCCTCAAAACCAAAAAAACCACTCACTGCCATCGAGTCGGATCTGACTCACAGCGACCCCTCCTTGGGTTTCCAAGGCAGTATCACTACAGAAGTAGACTGTCCAACCTTCCTTCTGAGGAGTGGCTGGTGGGTTTGAACCACCGACCTCCTGGTTAGCAGTCAAATGCCTTAGGCATTACGCTACCAGAGCTTCCACATTTCCTCTTATTTCTGTATTGTTTTAGTTTTATTAACAGCTATTACATTATTCAGCGGTGCTATCCTACCTTTAATCAATGGAATTTTCTCGTCACTGTAAATTGAAACTCAGTGCTCCAAAAGCAATAACCCTTCCTTTACCTCCCTTAGTCATTCTATTACCTTTTCAGTCCATAAATATGGTCACTCTTCCTTCAAGCATGTTGTTGTTGTTGTTATGTGCCATCGAGTCAGCCCCGACTCATAGCGACCCCTCCTTGGGTTTCCAAGGCAGTATCACTACGGAAGTAGGATTGCCCAACCTTCCTTCCGAGGAGTGGCTGGTGGATTTGAACCGCCAGCCATCTGGTTAGCAGGCAAGTATCTTAGCCACTACGCTACCAGAGCTCCCAAGCATAGCTTCACTTAAATGTCATTTCAAAAAAAAAAACAAAACTCCAAACCCACTGCCATTGAGTCTATCCCAACTCAGCAACACTACAGGACAGAGTAGAATTACCCTTCATGGTTTTCAAGGCTGTAATCTTTAAGGAAAAAAAAGAAGCGGGCACATAACAACAACAATCTTTAAGGAAGCAGGCTGCCTCATCTTTCTCCCATGGAGCAGCTGAGGGTTTGAACCCTTTGGTTAGCAGCCAAGTGCTTAACCACTGAAACCACCAGGGCACTACACATAGGATTCTTTTTCATGACTAATATAAACTAAATGGCTAATGATTCCTAAATCTTGTGATATTAAGATTGCAATTAAATTCTCTTGGTATAGTACATGACCTAAAATGAAGACAAATAAGATTTTCCAGCAGTCTTGTTATAGGAGCTCTAAAAGAAACAAGGGTAGGGGAAAGGGATGAGACAATTACCTCTTTACAGCTTTTCACAAAATTAAAAGCTTGAGTCTGTCGATGAAATAGTTTCCAAATAGAGGGTGGTTCTTCTGGTTTGGATAACCTTGGTCTATACACAGATGACAAAGGTTTCCTCTTATAATAGGAAGCTCGTTCTTCAATTTGCTTCAATTTTGCTTCCCATTTTCTCTTTATTGGTTCAGAAGCATGGGAAGAATCAATCTTATCCCATGTAACATTTTTATGAGTCACTACTAAAAGAAACAACCAAAAAGGACATCAGTTTCTTTGAGTATATTTTGTGTGGTAAAATTTCAAAATTTAGTTCCTGAAGTGTATTTCTGTATTTCATATTTTAATTTTTGCATGAAGTTTTATTGTGGAAGAGAACTGAGCTAGTGTTATGGATTAACTGTGTGCCCCCAAAATACATTTTAGAATCTTAACCCCTATACCTGTGGATGTAATCCAACTTGGGAATAGGATTTTCTTTGTTATGTTAATGAGGACATATCAATGCAGGGTGTGTCCTAAATCTAATCATTTCTGAGTTAGAAGGAGCAGCACAGACACAGAAAAAACAAGCGCAAAAGGGAGACAACGAGGGGAGACAGCTACCACATGAAGGTCCTCAAGGAACCAAGGAATACAAGAGCTATAGAAGCTGAGACATGACCTATCCCCAGAGCCAAGAGAGAGAAAGTCAGCTTTCCTCTATAGCCAGTGTCCTGAACTTGTACTACTAAAATAAATTTGTTCCTTAAAGCCACCCACTTGTGCTGCTAACAGCAGCACTAGGAAAATAAGACAGCTGGTTAATGAAGCAACCTGAATCTTAGCTTAAGCAACTGCAAAATGGAAATGAGTATCATCTTAAATACTTCATATAGTGATCTTGAGGGTAAGTGTGATAGGACATAGGGCAACACTTCATAAGTTATAAAGTCTTACGTAAATATAGGTACTTTTTATATCATTATGATTTTTCTTATAATTATTTTATTTAATCAAGTGTTATCTACCTGGCCCTACTACCTGGCCATCATTCCCGTGCTATTATTGCTTAGCGTAGAATCCATTTCCAGGCACCACTGTGCAGCTCTTAGCTCCCTTTATCTCTGCTTCTGTCCATCATTCCCTCTTCTCTCTCAACACTACTCTTGTTGTTGTTATGTGCTGTCGAGTCAGCCCGACTCACAGCGACCCCTCCTTGGGTTTCTGAGGCAGTATCACTAGGGAAGGAGCTCTGGTAGCTTAGTGCCTAAGGCACTTGACTGCTAACCAGAAGTCTGACGGTTCAA